CTATTTTGACACCCCAAGGAAATGAAATTGAAATACTTTAAAAAATAGACAATCTTTAGCCAGGTTGATGGATGGTCTGGGATTTATGTTTGCCTGTTTAACCCTTTCACTCTAAAGTCATTTCCACACCTTAAAGAAAGGTCATTTGTTATCTTTTTACATTCCTCTTTGAAATTGATGCTTTATATTTCTTTCTCAGACTTTGAGCTAACCCATGAAATCCAAAGAAGTTTCATGACTTTTATGAAAGAGATTAGCTAAACTCTTTTTCCGAAAGCCTTTCTTTATACCCTGCAAGGAAGACACCCCAAGAAGGGGAAAGAACCCATGTGCCTGGTGTACTGTTATTTTTCTAGGCACCTTTGAATTTATGTTGTAATAAAAACTCTTGAAGTGGCCTGAGCATCATCAGGCTTCTGGGCTGGAGGCACCAAGTCCAGGGGAAGGCATCAGAGTAAGGCAAGGATGAGCACACGCCCATGCCCCTGTCTGGGATCCATTTCCCTCACTTGTTTGTTAGAGCAGAGTCTCCCAGCACCGCTTCCTTGGGTGCACACAGTGCTCTCCTCGGTGTGTAACAAAGGCAACAATCTCCTCTGCAGCCTCTTCCCCTTTTGTGGACAGGTACAAGGCCCAGAACTGTCCCAACAACTCAGAGAATATCACCATCCTCAACAACTCCCCCATGGACGTAAAGGTCAAGTTCTCCTTTAAGAATGATGGGAAGACATTCATTTTGGACCCTCCCAGCATGACACTGAAACCAAAGGAGAAGCAGGTAGGAGAAGGACAGGTAGAGCAGGCGCTGTAGAAGCGCCCAGGGGCTGCTCCTCCTGCTCACACACAGAGCTCTTTTGATTTCTTCCTGTGGGGCCGTGTCCAGAAGCTGACCATTTGGGCATACCCCACTTCCCCTGGCTTCCTGGAAGACAAGCTCATCTGCTGTATTGGGAAGAACCCAGACCCAGTGGTCTTCAGCCTGTGCTGCCATGGGGTGCACGTGAAGCTGGAAGTCAGCCCCCGGCAGCTGTATTTTGACAAGCTGCTTCTGCACAGGTCAGTCATCCCAAAAGCACTCCAAGACATGTGACAAAGAGAAAATGTTTGGCTCTGGTTTCCAGGGCATGGATGGAGCTGCTCCAAGTTGCATTCAGTGGCGAGGCTGGTGTGACCATCCAGCAGCTGATGCCAAGTGCCTTCCTGTCTCTGCAGGACTGACAGCAGGACCTTGGTCCTGAGAAACAACACCCTGCTGCCCATGGCCTGGCAGCTCAATGGGCTGGATGACCTTGTTGAGGACTTCTCCTTGTCACAAAATAATGGCACCATTGATCCCCACTCAGAGTTTGAAGTGACACTGCAATTCAAGGCTGGGCAGATTGGCAGCATTGAGAAGACCCTCCGACTAGAGGTGAGAGGGCCTGTGCCCTGCCTGGCAGAGCAGGGCACAGTGAGCAGCTGTGTGCTCCTAGAGACAGAGTCAGGAAGAGCTGCACCTGACAGACACAAGGGTGCTGTGACCCCAACTTCTGCCTCCACACAGAGTTTGCCAGAACATGCAGTGCATCCACATCCCCCCAGATAACCAGACACTGCATCCTGAGCCTGTACCACAACCACCTTGTCCCTGTAAATAGTTGAAGGTTGTTCAGACTGCAGCGTGATCTCTACATTCCTCCTGGCCTTTGTCTGAAGCTCTTGCATAGTGCAACAAACTCTCCCCCTGGGATTTTGTTCCCCCTGGTTTAGGGGCTGTGTTTCAGACAGGGCACTGGGTGACTGGAGATGGTTGTCAATGCCACCTGCTCTGAGGCACCTCGCACTTCCTGTGGTTGTTCTTACACCCCTGTGCCTCTCAAGGGTGCTTTAGCAGCAACATTCCCTGCTGTAGGAGTGCAGAATTGGGCTGATAGGGTTGTTTACTGCAGCAGAATCCCACTGGGGCAGCCCATGAGAGGAACAGGTTAGCAAACCTTGGGAGTCCATGCTTGTGAAGCCAGGGAGGCCATAGAGGAAGCAGCCAGCAGAGACAAGGACTTTCAGGCTGTCTACCAAAAGAATAATCTGAACAGTGTTTGTTCCTTGCTGCCTCAGGTTTCAGATACAGAAAACATCCTGGGGATTGTCCAGGCTGAAAACATCAAAGTCTCTGCAGAGGTCTATGATGTCTCTCTGAGCATCGACATGCCTGAAGGTCAGTGGATGCTCCCAAACAAAGCAGTCCAGGTGCACTGCATTGCCTTGGGAGGTGGGCAGCCGATGGGATGGGATGGCATGGCATGGCATGGCATGGCATGGCATGGCATGGCATGGCATGGAATACAAGGATGGCATGGGATGGGATGCAATGGGATGCGATGCAATGTGATGAGATGGAATACAAGGATGGCATGGATACATAAAGCACGTACCCTGCAACCTGCATGAAATATAGCATTGTCAGGGAACTGACTTAGCCTTAAGTCTCTCCCCTCTGAACTTTGAAGCGTGCAGCTTCACATGCAGATTGGATTGGGGGGCTTTGAAACAACAGTGATGTGAACAGGCAGTTGGCAGCCCCCACAGGCTCAGCACAGCATATAAAGTAATTGGATTTGTGCTTGGAAATGAGGAAATGGAAACTGAGCTCCTTAGCTACTAAGCCTGCAGATATTTTGAGTGAGAAGAGAAAGGGAAGACAAGTAGCTGGAAAGCACTTTCAAGAAAGGAAACTTGCTGGAAAGGGTTTTGCACCAAGACCTCCATGTAGCTTGTGGCCTGTTGTGTTCTGCAGCAGCTAACACAAGGAGCCAAGGAAACACTCCAAACCCAGCTCAACACAGCGCTGGAAGCTCTCAGTGCTCAGCTGATCAGCTCCCACTCTCCACAATATTCCTACACAAGCTCTTGGTCACATCATGCTGCTGTCAGCTGCAGCGGGATGTAACTGCCACTGTGCACTGCTGGCTCTGGGCCTTAGACGGGCCATAGGAGTAACCAAGAAGGGAACATGATCCCCTTCCTTGAAATACAAATATTAGTCAAGCTGTTTTGAAAGAAAGCAGAGGTTGGGATTATCCTGGGGTTTACTCCAAGATGAGAAGGGGTTTTTGCACTGTGCAGACACCAGGCATTCATCATCTCTCACAATGCCAGTGCTCAGAACCAGAGCTCTGGTTGATGGGAGCACGGGGCAGTTTGCTTCCACAAACAGAAAAGGAAAAGGTTTTCTGTCCCTGTGTGCAGGAGAACTCAAAAGGCCCACTGAAACCTTCCAGCCTCGTGCCCAGGCTCATAGATGACACTGGAAGGCAGACTGAGAAATAGTACAATGTTGAGAGTGTCAGTTTTTTGTCTCCACCCCTGTTCCCCTGGTTACCCTCTGTCAATCCCTCCCTGAGTTCCTGCCCATCACACACTGTCCCCTTCCCTCTTTCCAGAAAGTTCTCCCGTCCTCGGTGGGTGATTGGATCGGGAACAAGGGTCCCTCCCTGTCACATTCCCTATTGGCTAGCCGGCATGTTTGTCACGAGTTTGTTCCCTCCCAAGTTCTCCCTCATTGGTTGAAATGTTGTATGTTCCGTCCCCTTTATAATCGGCTGTGCCCCCACCTCGTGGTCCCGACCCGGCTGGCTTCCCCTGGAGACATTAAAACTCTGGACTTTGCCCCCGAGTCCAGTCCCTCTTTTCTACTTCGCCTTCCTGCTGATGGCTGCTGCCTCCTGCTGAGGCGCGCCCCGGACGCCCCCGGCGCATCCGGGCAGTGCCGCCCGGCTGCCAGCTGCTGTGCCACAGCTCGGCCGGTGCAGCCTCCTCCCCAGCCCGGGGGAGCAGAGAAAAACTCGGACAGCAACTCGGCAGTGAGCATTTCCTCAGGTTCCCAGGCCTTTGTCTGGGATTCTTTTGTATTCTTTGTCAATGGCTAGAACCTGTTTCCATGCTGGCTACCTCATGGGAAATACAAAACCTGGGCTCTCTAATCTTAATTATTCTACCAGAGAATCCAGCCACAAACCAGCAGTTCTTCACAGCTCAGCAAGAGCCCAAAGCAGAGCCCCAGAAATTTCAGCCACTGAAATGCTGAGATTCATTGCCTTTCTTTGATGTTCACTTTCTTTATTTTTCTGAGACTCTGTAAAGAAGTGAATGAAAAATTTCAATGTCAAGGTTTCTTGCAGTAACCTTGTGATTGTCTGCACTCTCTGTCAAGATCCAGGACTCCCTGAGCAGAGCTGGATTCTCCCTTTTTTTTTGGTGGTCTTGTGCAAAGTCCTGGCTGTGCTGGTGGCACCTGTACGTTTAACTGCAGAGATCTCCATTCCTTCCCTTTCCCCCCAGTTTCACCCTGAAGGGTGCAGGTCCCAGGACACGAGATGTGGCATCCCACTTCACTGTTGCACCTCAGTCAGGCGTCCTGATTGCCTCCCAGCCTGGTGTGAATGTTGAGATCCTCTTCCACCCCACAAGTGAGATGCTCCTCAAGAACAAGCCCATCCTGTACTGCCAGGTGAGCTGCCTGGGCCAGGCTGAGTTATCACGCGGTGTTTTGGGAGCGTAAACAGGATAAGTGTCTCATGGAACAAGGGCTTTACTGGAGAATCCTCTCTCCAACATACACAAACAAAGTCTTTCAATACCATTTGGGAGGCTTCCTAAGTGGAGCTGAGAATCTGACTCTGGAGGAGGGGCTTAAACAGGGAGGGGTAAACTGGAGGAGGCTGGGGACTGGGGTAGAGGCTGGCCTCTTTATTGTTTACCACCTTTTCTGTGGACACAGGTGATAGATGCCAGCTCAGGTGAAGGAGGCCAGGCTGTCGCCATCATCCCAGTGAATGTGTCAGCAAAAGCTGTGTACAGCAAGTACAGCATTGAGCCTGCCTCACCCATCAACTTTGGAGCCATGATCAAGGGCACCAAGAAGACCCAGACTGTTGTGCTGGAGAACAAAGGCATGCTCAACTTCAAATTCTACATCCGCCAAGTACCCGAGGAGACATCTACATCAGAAAGCAAGAGGTATGAGAAGCCCTGACCACCCTTCCTGTCTGAGGAGGCACCACCCCACGGCTGGTATGTGGCAGGCAGCCAGGAGACCTGGACTATCATCCATTTGCATCCCTGGCTTGGGGAGAGGGGGCTGAAAAAGGCCTCGGTATCTGCATGTGTAGTATGAAGCTGGTGATAGAACTGCTCAGTCCAGCAATGGGAGCTGCTGGCTGCTCTCTGGGAGCCATCAGGAGCAGAAAGGCTTTCCTCTCAGAGGAGGAAGGCCAGCTTTGGCCTCGGAGAAAGGCAGGGGAGCTCAGCATGACAGATACCTCTGCTTTCTCCTCTCAGTTCAAAGCAAGGGGAATCTGCTCCACTGGCTACAAAGCAATCAACAGCAAGGAAACCAAGCTCCTTGACACAGGTGGGTGACTCCTGCTCCCCAGCAATGCTGCTGCAGGGGATGTGAGAAGATGCTGCTGTGCCCAGGCTGGGGGCTCATCGTCACAAGGTGGGATGTGGTCTGCAAGACCAGTATCTGCTCAGTCCCACTGACAGTCCTGTACTCTGGCTCTGACCTGGAGCTGTGGGGTCAACAGAGGGGAGCAGGTCCTGTGTTTGGTAGTTGCTAGCCAGCATAGGTCTGTGAACACCTCAGAAGCAAAAGCATGCCCACTGAACTCCCAGTCCACAGAGCTCAGACAACACTGCTTTTTCTTCTTTGCAGTCCCCTATCTCTCTCCTGTGATTTCTCACAGCTATTTCTGCTCTCCTCTGTTACCTACGGAGATTGAAGGATCACAGCTACCACCTTCATTCTTTACTCTCAAATTCCTTTCTCTCTGCCCCTTGGGACAGATTTGCAGCTCCTCTTGTCTTGCTGCTCTCAGTCTGGGGCTGCTTTTGGGCCATGAAGTCATCCTTCCTTGCTCTGGGACTGGGTGCTTGGGCCAGGCAGGACATACTCTTTGCTGGGGTGCTCAAGGCACAGCTGTTAGCCGTCAGCCTCTCCTGGACCTTTTTCTGCAGAGTCACCTCAGTCTTGGCATGTTCACGGTGTCCCCCTGCTCCGGCTCCATCAGTCCGTGGGGCCAGCAGAAGATCACAGTGGAATGCCTCGCAGGGCAGGAGGGGACATGTGAGGAGCAGCTCTACATTGACATCCCGGGCAGAGACCCCAGGGACAATCCCCTCGGCATTCCCTTCACCCTGACTGCCGAGTCCTGCCTCCCAGGTACATACTGCCCACAGTGCCCTTGGTCACACTTGCTGCTGATCAGCACCTAAACTTGCTGCTTGGATAGAGAGGCACACTCGCCCTGATGTCCCACCTTAAAATCCTCAGAGGTTCCAGCCCTCTTCAAGTCCACCAGTGGACTCATCCCCCCCAGGCTGAGAGGGATGCATGGAAGGATAAAAGGAAAGCAATGCTCTCTAAGACTGAGGCTGACTGGGCTCCATCCTCCCAGCCAGCTCCCCCACCCAAGGCTGGGTTTAGCAGTCACCTGGGCAGAAAGGGCTTATCAAGCCTTCTGAGAGGCCAGCAGGGTTCAGATAAACTCATCAGGGAGGCTTCTCCATGCTCACCCCTCTGGTGTGTCCACAGGATTTGCTGAGGATGTCATGTTAATCTTCGAGGAGTACCCGATCTGCAGCAGCACCGACCTCAGCCGCAAGCTGCAGTCGGTGAAAGGCCTGGGCCTGTTCATCAGAGATGAGAACAAATTCATCTTCAACAAGGTTCTGGTTGGGCAAGAGGCTGAAGCTCATTTCAGTATCTACAGTGCAAGCAGTCTGCCATGTGACGTGGTCCTCTCCATCAAACCCCTGCCTGGAAAGGTAAGAACAGGAGGCCAAGGTGGTGGCTGCCCTCTGAGGGCCATGTGAGAGCCTGTTTTGTTCTCCAGATGCATTGCTGCCTGTGGCCCAGACTAGTCTAGGTCAGTGCAGGTCAAACTGCTGGGAAAAGCAGCAGAGCCAGGGAACAGTTGTGTGGAATTCTGCATGTCTTGGGCCAGGTTTTGGCTCACACCTGTGTGTCTTTGATGGGAGAAGTGAGTCCTTCTGAACCTCTCTTGGAAGCACATGCAGAGAGGGGCTGTTATAAACTGACATGCCAGGGCTCAAAGCAGAGCATTTCGTCAGGCTCCCTGGCTTTTCCTCCTCTTTGAAGGCCAGTTCTAGGTTATTTTCAGGGTCTTCCATGCAGTGCCCACCTCCCATATAGGCTGGGGCAGCTTCCAGCATTCAAAACACCCAATGCTTTAGCACAAGGTGAGCATTCCCTGGGAGGATGGGATCCTGCCCAGGGAAGCAGGAAGGAAGACACACTGTCTGGGGCTGTTCTCAGTAATGCATTTATGATAAAGCTGTGTCATCTTGAAAGGTGTTTTCTCCTAACACTGCTCTCTGGGTTCTCCCAAGGAACAAATCCCTATCAAAAACATTTTCAAGTTGGATCCAGTCAAGATGTCCGTTCCTGGCTCATCCTGTGCTGTTGCTACAGTGACCTTCACCCCACCAGATGAGCAGAATTACAACTGCACCTTCAAGGCTTCCCTTGTCATCCCAAAAGGGTAACTGACCCTGTGAAATACTGGGGAGGCCTCACTGATAGCTGCCTCTCCCCTGGGAAGGCACAGCCCTCTTGTTAGCTCTAATGCTTTCAGTAGCCTTAGGCAGAGTACTTGGCATGAGATGATCTTGAGAGGCAGTAACTCTGAGATAGGGCAGAAAAATGAGGCTGATGGTTTAGCCTGCATGAGGAACTACAGGCAAATATTAGCTAGCCAACTGGAAGTTACTGAGATGTGCTACAGCTGAGCTGAGGGTTTCCAAGGACAAAGGCTTGGATGAACCAGTTTCTGTACCAGCAAGTCAGCAGTCACAATTTCCTCTTTGTTTCTGTAAAATTAGGTGATCCTCTGGAACTCCCTGACATTTGTTAAGCTGTTTTATGTGAGTGATTGGAGCTGATGTGAAAGAGGAGCCTGGTTCCTCTGCCCTGGGACCTGTGTGCTGGGGCTTTGACCTGCCCTTCCTCAACTCTTTAGTGGCTGAATTGGAATGAGAGAAGTCTAATGGCTAATAAGCAATTGCTTTTTTTACTGTTCTTGGAAATGATCTTTACTGATGGTGATGATGATGTGTTTTTGCCTTCTTGCTTTTGTACTGCTTTCATGCTATGCGTTTGCTTGTTGCATGAGTCTCATCTCACTGCAGCCAGGGGATTTGCCATACCTCATCTGGTGCCTCATTATTTACCTGCTATACTGTGTGATTCAAGTAAAATTATTTTTAACTGTTATTGTGGAAGTCTCTGGCTCTTTGGAGCAGGTTCCTCTTGTGAATGGCCCTGAGTGGACTGGGAAGAGGCTGGTGGGGGGCTGTGTTGTGGGGTGCAGGAGCACCAGGCAGGGAAAACACTGTGGGTGGCCCTCAGTGCTTTGCTCACCCGGTGAGAAATGGGTTAGTGCCAGCTGAAATTGTTTCTGTGCCTCTCCTGCAGCTCTGTGAAAATGAAGCCCCAAACGCTGACCTTCACCATCAGCGGGCAGGCGCACGAGCCGCAGCTGACGGTCGTGTGCCCAAGCGCCCGCAGCAAGCGGGGAACGGCCGTGCTGCGCTTCCAGAGGCTCCGGGTGGGGCGCTCCGAGGTGCTGCCCCTGGTCGTCCGTAACGACGGCATCACTCCTCTCAAGGTGAGGAGGACCTGCTCGAGGAGTGGTCTGCTTTGGGAACAAGTGCTTGTGGCACAGGGCAAGGGTCCCAAAAAACATGGCAGACCTGGAAAGAGGTGTCAGAAATTCTTTTTAAGCAAGTGACTGACATCTGTTCTCCAAGAAGGGAGTTCTTGGAAATTTTCTGTCCAGTCTGTCTTCTTTAAGTTGAACACAAGAAAGGTGACTATATATATATATATCTCAGGTCACCTTTTGTTCTCATAGACATGTGTGATTTCCCAGTTCCATTAGATTGTATTTGATCCCAGTTTACTACATTTTAAGTAGACTTAGATGTGGTTTAATTACATTCTGCTCATCACTTTCTGTCCTGCTTGGTTCTATGTCAGTTCTATCCAGATGCCTTTGAACACCCTTTTTTCTCAGCTGATTTGACTTTTGTGCTAAGTGCTGTTAGTAGTGGGAGAGGCGCTGGGTGGCCGTGTGGGACCAGCAGCACTGTGGTGTCAGTCCCTGTGCCATCCTGTACTCACACCAGCATCATTGTGCTCTGGGTTCCCCTTTCTCAGTTTATGTTACGCCTGGAACACGAGTACGGAGCGTTCTTCTTGAAAGGCAGGAACTCCACACTCAAGGTATTCCACACTGAAGATGTGGAAGAGGACTCCACTGGAAACGGTAAATTCATTAACCATGAAGTATGATCATGCACAGAGGGAAAATGTGTGCTCTGCTCTTGGCTTCTCTGAGCCACAGCCAGATGTTAGGTACAGTTTTGTTCCTTGGGCTCTCTGTGCCCCAAGCTTTTCCTGGGCCTTTTTGCAGGGTTTCCTCCTAGCAAGTTGTAGGCAGTTCTTCTGTTCTTCTAGACATGGTGGGTTGACTTGTGGGGGACTATCACTACCTCAGTGGACCCTCTGAGGTATTTGCTGCATGTAGGAAGGTACCAACCTGAACAGACACAGCCCTTGAGCCCACAGCCAGCCAGCAGAAGCCAAAAGCACTCTGGCTTAGCTTTGCATATGGCTGGAGCTGGCTGGAAGCAGATGGAATGAGGGCTGGACATCAGCCTGAGGTTAAGCTGCTTAAGTGGTGCTGTGTCTGGAGGTGGCAGTCTTGTGAACATAGCAAGAGGGTCTGGAACCACTGGGGGTAGAACCTGTGCTTAGAAGGCAGCTGGTTTCAACCTCTTATTCCTCATATATCCTCTGGAAATATTTCCTCTCTACAGCTGTATCACTTAACTCTGATTTCCACTGTTGTGCAGAGAGAAAGCCCACGAAGCCTTTCTTCCTTCTGCGTTGTGGGCAATCGACAGAGTTTGATGTCATTTTCAAACCCACCCTGGCTCAACGTCTGGAAGGGAAGATTCGTCTGTTGGTGGGGAACATCTACTCTAACAAGATCCTAGTAGAGCTGGTGGGTGAAGGCCACAAGGACAAATTCACCCTCGTTGGACTAGAGGAAGACACCCAGGAGAGGAATGCTAAGAGCAGTCTGAACAAAGACATCATTGATGGTAAGAGAGGAGAGGCTGCCAAGGTGGACAAGGAAGAGGAAAATGTCCAATCACGTGTGTCCTCTCTCCAGCCAGGCCTGGGCTGTCACCCACGGGCCTTGGTGGCCTGTGGGGGTGGCAGCCATGCAAGCAGAGCAGTGTGTGCTGTGCTGCACATCGCTGGCTTAGGGATGTGTCAGGGTGTTTCCCTGGAAGTGGTGGGATGGGGAACTGCCAGGGGAGCTCCCTCCAGACGGAGGAAGGCTTGGAGCAAGGAAGCATTGAACGTGCAGGTGTCTGTGCACGTGAGGGGGCGGGTGGAGCTCCCTGCATGCTGAGATCCCTTGCTCTCCTCCTTAACAGCTGTCAGAGTGAACCACATGCAGTTTGGGGACTGTCCTGTCGGGAAGCCCTGCCGCAGGACCTTCACCATGAGCAACCTCACCCGTCACCAGTTCATGCGCTTTGAGTGGGAGGCAGACGGCCCATTCCGGTTCTCCCCCAAGGTGAGCGTGGACTGCTCTGCCTTTCCCCATCGCTCAAGCCCTGCCCTGGTGTTCCCAGGAGCTGGCAGGAGTCCTCACATACCACTGAGAGCCCATTCCAGTGCCATGTAGGAGATGCAGTCCCTGGCTTGGATGGGCCAAGGCTGCCAACCTTGAAGAAAAGGCTTCATGTGGTGGGAGGTGGCGCCTTCTGTTCATACTTTTGTCTATCAAACTTCACACAAATCCACTCTGGGGTGCAGATTCCTGGCACTGCTGCTCACATCAGTCCCTTTTGCTGTCAGTCCTACCCTTGGCACTGCTTTCAGTTTGGTCTTGACTCCCTGATTCTCCCTAGGTGGGACACCTCCGTCCTCGCCGTGCCAAGGAGATCACGGTGACCTTGAAATCAGATGTCCCAGCCACCTTCAGGAGGCACCTTGTGAAATGTAAGGTGACCAAGATCAACTTTGAGCTGCCACCAAGGAAGGTTCCTGACTGGGATGACCAAAAGATCATTATATCATGGAGGAGTACCCCCAGCAAAGACTCAGCAGACAAATCCCCTAAAATAGAGAGGGTAAGAAGAAAAATGGTAAAAAAAAGCCAACCCAGCTTTTACAAAAAGAACCACCATAACACCATCACTGCTGGCTGAGCAGCTCCTGCTTCCTCTGACGTTGGACAGCCGTGAGGTTCACCAGCAGTGCATTCCAGGTGGATGCACAGTGACCAGACACACTCACACAAGAGGGGAAGCCTTTTGACAAGAGACCTTTGGCCACACACAAACCATCAGTCTGTGCCACAAGCACAAGTCTTACAGCCTGTGTTGAATGGGAGACAATGTTTTATGATTTTATCCCATTTTATGGTGTTAGAAATCTCTTCATCTCATTTGATGCCTTTTCACCAACAAGGAGTTAAGTCTGCTGCACTCTGTCTCTTTTCTTGAAGCGGAGAGAAATCCACTTCTCCTGCATGTGCTGGTGAACTCCCAAGTTTTATCTGCATGGATCCCAGAGAATTTGGTTGTGGTCTCTGGTGTAGGATATGGCACTGTATGTCAGTATGGAGGAGTCCAGAGAAGGATCATCTCCAGAGACTCTTGTCTTTATTGTCATTATTGCCACGCACACTCATCTTGGGTGAAGTTTTTTTCTGAGTTTCTGGACCATTTAAAGGCTTTTAAATCATTCTCTTTTCTATCAGAACATCTGCAGTTGAAGACTTTCTTAGTAAGATGTTTCACATCCCAAAATGCCCATCCCCAGCTCCCAGCAGTGTGGCTGTTGGTCCACACAAGACATCTGGAGAGCACTTTCTCCTAAGACAAGAAGAAAAAGGTGCTTTCTAGAACTCTTCACTCTTGGGGTTCTTCATCCACAGAGCTCCAGCAGGGGAACTTAAACCAAATTTTGAGACCTGCTGGATTTATAGGGGACCAGGAAAGAGTCAGTCCCTCTACAAGACTGAAGTACAGGGACTGGAACACAGCTATAGTCTCCCTGGGGATATTAACAGCTGTGGTAGTGGCTGCTTTGATCGGTGGGTAGAAGAATCTGCTGTAGCAGAACAGTCCCAATTGTGTCATCTTTCCAGAGAAGTAAAAGAGGATGGTGCTTTCTAGTCCCTGTATGAGGCTGATCTTGGAGGCCAGAAGATCCCCTTCTCAGCCTGACCTTCTGGGCTCTGCTCAGTGATTCCTCCCTCCTCTGTTTGCAGGTGGTCAAGATAGACCCGGAACCGGTCCACACTGTGGTGGAGGAGAGCAGCCAGGAGGTCGAGGTGTACCTCAGTGCTGTTGTTGGCTACACAGAGTTGAAGCTGAACACGGTGGTGGTTCAGTTCAAGGATACATTGCCCTTCCACACAAGGACAGCCACGTGAGTGCTGGAGGCCTGCCTTTCCCAGCTCCCAGCAGTGTGGCTGTTGGTCCACACAAGACATCTGGAGAGCACTTTCTCCTAAGACAAGAAGAAAAAGGTGCTTTCTAGAACTCTTCACTCTTGGGGTTCTTCATCCACAGAGCTCCAGCAGGGGAACTTAAACCAAATTTTGAGACCTGCTGGATTTATAGGGGACCAGGAAAGAGTCAGTCCCTCTACAAGACTGAAGTACAGGGACTGGAACACAGCTATAGTCTCCCTGGGGATATTAACAGCTGTGGTAGTGGCTGCTTTGATCGGTGGGTAGAAGAATCTGCTGTAGCAGAACAGTCCCAATTGTGTCATCTTTCCAGAGAAGTAAAAGAGGATGGTGCTTTCTAGTCCCTGTATGAGGCTGATCTTGGAGGCCAGAAGATCCCCTTCTCAGCCTGACCTTCTGGGCTCTGCTCAGTGATTCCTCCCTCCTCTGTTTGCAGGTGGTCAAGATAGACCCGGAACCGGTCCACACTGTGGTGGAGGAGAGCAGCCAGGAGGTCGAGGTGTACCTCAGTGCTGTTGTTGGCTACACAGAGTTGAAGCTGAACACGGTGGTGGTTCAGTTCAAGGATACATTGCCCTTCCACACAAGGACAGCCACGTGAGTGCTGGAGGCCTGCCTTTGCCCAGGGCTGGCCCAGTGCCTGCTTCCCAGAACTCTGCCCCAGCCCAAACCAGCACAGCCCCATTTACATGCACACAAAGCCAAGCAGGTGGGGTGGTCAGGAGAGGTTCAATGCTGCCAGACCTTTCTGCTGAGAGCAGCCATGGGTTTGCTTTCACTGCATGTCACCTTTCCTCATCTGCTCAAGAATAAGTTTGCAGTGAAACCAAGACCTAAAGTCCAGAGTAAGCCCCTTAGCTTCAGTGTCCTGGGCACCATGTTGGCCCTTTCCTCTTAACAGTATTTCCAAGTCTGAATGTTTTTGGGCCACCCAGCACAGCAGTCTGAGCATGGCAGGGTTGCCTGGGGAAGAAGCTGCTCCTCAGAAGAAAGTGGTACCAGGAGTCCATCAGACAATGTTGCTGTACTATTTGCTTTATATTTATTGGACTTTTTTTTTTAAATTCCTCCTTCTTGCTTTTCAGTTTCAGCATGCACAACACAGGGAATACAACCCTGGAATATTACTGGGAGGAACCTGCAGATAAACCAGTGAAGAAGCCATACTCAATCACTCTGATGCGTAAGGGCATTTCACCCCAAAACATGAACTGCTTTTTCATCCTTGTCCACACGTCCACTTTCATCAACATCTTCCCAGCTTCAGCTGGAGAGTTTTCTCCTTGTCCCTCTCTGCTTTTCAGCCTTTTCTGTTCTTGCTCTGCCACTTGTGCTCTGCAGAGGACTGAGCCAGGCTCTGGGGACGGCCACGTGCTGGGTCAGGACTGGGAAGGGGGACATCAGGTCATCTCTTTGAGAAGTCTGAGACTGGGAAAAATAGTCGTGTAATGAGTGAGCTGCCTTGCAGCCACTGTCTGTGTGCAGTTCCCACTCCAGGGCAAATGCAAAGTCACTGTCTAAATGCAGCTCTCCTGCTTTGGCACAGGAATGCGTGCTGCAGACACCTGCTCCCAGACACTCTGTTTCCTGCTAGAATAAAGTACTTGGCCAGAGATGATCCAAGTGCATCCCAGCTCCCCCCTTCCACCTACAGGTGGAGCAGGAGGCAGAGTTGCTGGGAACATAGGTGTCCTCTTGCTCCCTGCAGGTCGGTTCCTCTCCTATGAAACTGTGAAGAATCGCAGAAAGCTGCTGCGTCGTTACTGGCGGTACCTGGCCCGTCTTTCCAGGATGCGTCCTAAAGTGCAGCCGCAGGAGCGGCGGCCTGACAAGAATGAGCTGTTTATGCGGTGGTGGTGCCGGCTGATAGGGGTGGATCCCAAGGAGCTGATGGGTTCTAAAGTGCAGGAGGGTTCTGAGGATCAGGACGGTTCCAAGAAGCGGAAGAAGGGTTCCAAGAAGCAGCAGCAGCAGGATTCCGAGCAGCAGCAGCAGCAGGGTTCCAAGCAGCAGCAGTCTTCTGAGGAGGAGCAACTGGATTCCAAGCAGAAGAAGGGTTCCAAGAAGCAGAGCCACTCCAAGGAACAGCACGTCTCTGAGCAGCAGCAGCCCTCTGAGCTGCAGAAGCAGCAGTCTTCTGAGGAGGAGCAGCTGGATTCCAAGCAGAAGAAGGGTTCCAAGAAGCAGAGCCACGCCAAGGAACAGCACCTCTCTCACCAACAGCTGCAGCAGCCCTCTGAGCAGCAGAAGCAGCAGTCTTCTGAGGAGGAGCAGCTGGATTCCAAGCAGAAGAAGGGTTCCAAGAAGCAGAGCCACTCCAAGGAACGGCACCTCTCTGAGCAGCAGCACCCCCAGCAGCATCAGCAGCCGCAATCCCAACAGCCCGAGCAGCAGCCCTCTGAGCAGCCTGAGCAGCCCGAGCAGCAGCCTGAGCAGCAGCCCGAGCAGCAGCCCTCTGAGCAGCCTGAGCAGCCCGAGCAGCAGCCTGAGCAGCAGCCCGAGCAGCAGCCCTCTGAGCAGCCTGAGCAGCCCGAGCAGCAGCCTGAGCAGCAGCCCGAGCAGCAGCCCTCTGAGCAGCCTGAGCAGCCCGAGCAGCAGCCTGAGCAGCAGCAGCAGCCCAAGAAGCCAGTCCCTTCCAAGAAGCGACGCCGCTCAAAGGAAAAGCACCTCTCTCTGAAGCACGTCACTTCCTCCATGGAAATCTTCCCAGATTTCACTGATGACCTGGCACTGTTCTCCATCGACCCCTACCGTGGCACCCTTGCTCCTGGCCAGAAGCAGACCTTCCACGTGCGGTTCGCCCCGAAGTGCGCGGGGAAGTTTGAGACCACCATGCTGTGCAGGTGGGAAGCGTCTCCGCCAGCTCATGCTACCGATGGGTATCACTGAATCACAGGGTGGGGCAGGGTGGAAGGGACCACAGTAGGTCATCTGGTCCCACTTCCCTGCTCAGGTGGGGTCATCCCAGAGCACAGGGTTGTGTCCAGAGAGCTCTGGAATAATTCCAGTGAGGGACACTCCACACCCTCTCTGGGCAAGCTGTCACCTATACAGGAAAGATGTTCTTCCTCAGTTCAGGTGGAATTCCCTGTTCAGGTTCCGCCCATTGCCTCTTGTCCTGTTGCTGGGCATCACCAAGCACAGCCTGGTTCAGCCCCTAACACCCTCCCTTCAGTCCCTCTGACTGGGATGGGGAGGTGGGCCTGGAGTCAGGCAGCCCCAGAGAGGCAGCAGAAACACCCACAGGAGCACAGAAGGATCATCATCTGGCCTTGGTAGGGAGACACTGGGGAAAGACACTGTGTGAAACATCAAGCTCCTGGAGGGTTGCAAATCTGAAACGAGAGATCTGGGAACCAGCCTGTCCCTAGCTCTGCTTGCTTTTGGGACAAGCAAGGCCTGCTTCTCTACATGGAACCCTGTGTGCTGTAGTTGGTTCCCAGGCACTTAACTGATCACATTCCTGCCCTTGCACCTCTGCAGCCTCCATGCAGCAAGTGCAGTTGTTTAATCTGCTGCTCGCTGCTTGCACAGAGAGAGGATGCAACACTGTGTGCTCTGCAAGGAGACAGAAAAGCAGCTGGCTGGAAATGTTCCTCTGGCTAATACCAGTCCCCTTCTTCCTAGGATTCCTAACCTGAGGCCAACTCAGAAGAAAGTGCGGGTGATTTTGAAAGGCAGAGCCCGGGAGAAGAAGAGTTTTGGTAAACCGAAACGCTCTGCGTTACGGCGGAGAGAGGATGGCCCGAGACCCAAGAAGAAGGTGCACTGGAAACCAGCACCTGAGTGACAGCACTGGTGCCAGCTGGAGCATCTGGAAGGAGACAGCAACATCGTGCCTTCTGCTGCTGATGGTCTCCCACCCTTCACCAGACACCTCTGCAGCTACCCTTCCAAGCTCCAGTGAACACTTCTGTTACCTAAGTTAACTAACTAACTGTTAGTTAATTGTTAATTAAACAATGGCAATAATAATTGTCAGCTTGTCTTGGTTGGAAAGACAGGTGTCTGTGGGGCCTCTCTGGAATGGAGAATGTGACCCTCTTCCCTCCAAATTATTATAACTGAAATTAACGGGCTCTCAGGCAAAGATATGGGAAAGGAGTAGCAGTCCTTTACTAGTATGTATAACAAGGCAAACAAAAACAACAGTGGCAGCAACAACAAAAAGAACCAGATCCGCAACCACAGCCCTCCCTTGGCTGCAGGCACTTCCCTTTTGCTGTAGTTCTGGTCGCAGCTGGGCAGGGAATGGAGGGAGATTATGAATAAAGTAATTGCTAGAGAAATTTTAATTAAGCTACACCAAGGAATACACTGGAGAGCTCAAGCACTGTGTGATCAGTTCTGAAGAACTTATTGCTGTGAGGGAGTCTATACAGGAACCAAATAGAGACTGGACGATGCTCAATTTGTTAAAAGATAAATAAGAAAGTGATGAGAAAACACCCTAGTGAGGAAAGAGCCTAGCCCTTAGACCCTTTCAAAATGCAAATAGATTACACTGAGTTCCCCAGAATACAGAGATGAAAATACCTTCTTGTAATAGTTGATCACCTCACCCACTGGGTAGAAGCCTTTCCTACCTCAACTGCAACTGCCTCCAAAGTGGCTAAGATACTATTAGAACAAACCATTCCCATATGGGAAAATTGAAAGAATAGACTCAGATAAGGGAACACACTTTACTTCAAAAATTTTATATTCTAGATGTGTTGTATTAGACATTGGAAATTACATACCACGTGGCACCCTCAAAGCTCTGGATGTGTGGAGAGAATGAATGCTATCCTTAAGAACCATATTACCAAATTAATGATTGAAACCAGATCAGCATTATTACGGATCAGAACTGCTCCAAGAAAGGTCACAGGAGTTTCTCCCTATGAAATGTTATTTGGGTTACCTTATCTGGGAAGGAAGGAGGGTTTGCCAATGGCTGAAACTAATGACTTCTATCTCAGAAATTATTTCAGGCAATTGCACTCTCACGGATCTTAGAAGAAAAGAGTTGTTACCCTAAACATCACCTCTAGCCTTTCACATACACCAGGTAAAACCAGGAGATGGGGTTCTAATAAAATCTTGGAACGATGATACCTTAACAGCAGCATGGGAAGGTCCCTGTCAGGTACTTTTAACAACTGGAACAGTTACCAGGACTGCAGAAAAAGAACCTCTCAAGTCAAAGGGCCAGTGGAAGCTGCTCCCCAAACTTGGACAGTGGTACAAGGAAGTGACTCTTAAAAGTTAATCTTCAAAAGACGATTTCATAGTGAACAGTCAAGGGCAGAACTGGACAGACCTCTGTATTTGCCACCAGAGAGCCTTTTGCTCCACTCTGGGCTGCCATCCCTCGGGTGTTGAGCAGTGGGAATGTAAGGCAAACCAGACCTTGACAAAAGAGGAATAGCAAATGATGTTTTAAGACTCTGGAAATTGCTGGATGGAGTGTCATGGCGTCTGTGCTTCACCTCTACATCCCTGCAGTGTGCTGTTCTAGTGCACAGAACCCAGGAAGCAGGTGTGGATACCGAGGAAGGTAATCTTTGATGCTGCAGTTACAGTCTGAGGTTTGCATCATCTGAGCAAGCACGGATGGAACTGCTGATGGAGGCACTGCACACAAGTGTATCTGCATCCTACTTGACTTGACTTGGAGGAGAACTGTGGACAGCAATGTGAACTGACAAATCAGGAACTTTTAAATGATTGAATTTAACACCGACCTAATAAAAGACTGATTAATCTTATTTATAACTACTTCACGAAGGAGCTAGTTTGTGCTGACCAGACAGGGTCATTAAATCAAGGGCTTCAGCAATGAAAGGCTAATAAAAGGGAAGGGTGGATTGTGAGAGACAATTGTGCCATTTTGCTGAAGCCAAAAGGTTGTTAGGTTAAAAAATGTAAGGCGTTTGTTCTATGTGGTGTTTGGATTGTTTGAATTTCGTTCTGGTTGGTTCAGTGTTGGTGCTGGAACACCATAACCTTCCCAGTGTGCATGTGCTTATTTATTATATTAAGAAGAAATAGCCACTGGTGTTCCTCTGAGGGGATGAGGGAAGATGACCCTTTACTACATGGGCCAGAGAAGTAAGCACTTGGGTTTCTTTACAGAAAAGACAAATCCTCTCCGCACCCCTTGGCTGCTCCAGCTGCTTGTCTGCAGTGTATTTAATCTGAGATGTGTGTTTTACATGAGATGTGGTCATGCATACTCTGGAGAACTGAAAACTGCTGCGGGATTGAGGAGGAGCCAGGCCATCTGCTACTGTGGCACATAGTCTTGGTCACACATCCCACCTCAAGCTGCTGCCACTGGAACCCCTCAGCCTCTGCTGAGTCCCAAAGGGTCTCAGAAGTCCCAAAGAGACTGCAGGTCATGAGCTTCCCAGGGGCTTGGTTTAACCCTTTCCCAGAAATGGCTTTTCCTTTAAATCCTGCAGTTGGAAATTGGAGAAAGATCTGTATGGGGCCTGCCTGCATCCTGCTAAGGGGTGTCCTCATGCTATGGAAACAGTTCAGCAGGAGAGAGGAATTTGCTTATTATCTCCGGGATAGAAGCAGCAGTTTTTAGCCTGGATGGGTCAGCCGAGGAAGCAGGAGCTGCCGCACGATGGCATTGTCTGCTGCAGAGAGAGGCAGAGACTCTTCCAGCTCAGGAAACTCCGCAGGAGCCTTCCCTGGGGGGCAGAGCACTGTGTGACCTCCCTGCACTCGTGTCCAGGATAGGGTTACACTGCCACTAGACTGGACTAACCCTCTCAAAATGGCTTTTTCGTGATGGAGGAATCTCTCTGTTCCCAGCTGCTGGCTGAGGTGTTTGAGCAGAGCAATCAGAGCCTGGCAGGAACCCGCTCTTGCACTACAGTATTGCATGAGGGGGGTGTTGCCTTACACTGAGGGAAACTGCGAGCAGCTCTTCTAGAATTACATGGTCAGGAACGAAATTAAGTCAGCTGAGACAAACATTTATTGGTAACAAAAAAAAAAATAGTTTCTCTACTAAAGATGGCTAGAAAAGACAGAGCAAGAAGAAGAGAAATGGGAAAGGAATTTGTGGGGGGAGAGAGACAGAGGCCTGGCTTGGAGGCAGGGAGGGCTGGACACAGGTGGCTCAGGGACACAGGTAGCTCAGGGACACAGAGGTGAAGCAGGCAGGACATCAGTCAGGGATGCAGGGAGATGGGACAGATGTGAGGGCAAGCAAGATCCAGCAAGGGCCTCAGCAGGCTGGAGTCAAAGCAGAAATAAGACATAAAAGGCCCTCCGACTCAAAATGCAAGTCTCAAAGCCCCCCAAAAAGCAAAAAGCGCAGTCTCCAAAGCTTGCCCTCACTCAAAAAGCAAGTTTTGAAAAAACCCCACGGGTTGTGTTGCAGTTATTTTTATGCCCCTGTCTCCTCCCAAGGCCTGCCTGCTGGCAGGAGACCACTGTGCCAGTCCAATGTCCCAGTGCAGTCCCTCAGCAGAGACCTTTTGCCATGGATTGCAGAGTGTCTCTGGGGTACAGTGCCTGCTGACAGCCTGTCCCGTGTGGCACATGAACTGGCTGCCAGGCAAAGTGTCCCCAGAGACAAGGCTTTCCTCCATCTTCTCCTCAGTGCCTCCTGGACGTGGCACACGTATGACCCCTTCTTTCCCCATGTGCCTCTGAACAACTAGGGTTGAGACAAACCACAAGTAAATTGGCTCCTCACACAGGGTAATATGCTGTCATTGGTTTGGAGACTGATGTGTCTGTGCCACAGTTTCCCAATTAAAGGCCTCAATTTTCTCTTGCTTTAATGATTTAAGGTTACCTCCTCCCTTTTAACTTCAGTTGTTCCCTTTCTGATGTTGCTTGCCAGCAGCAGGGGATGTGATCACTGTACCTGTCTATGAGAATCTTTGATAGAATTCTTGGCAGCTCCCTCTAAAACTCAGCAAGACTTGGCTCTGTGTTTATCTGAGGAGGGCTGAGGTGCTCTGGTTCACATCTGCCTGCTCATCCAGGGAGCTGTCTGATGGTTGTGCTGTTCAGTGGTTTCTGTAGAGCTTTTGAAGTCTCCTGCAGGCCTCAGTCTCCCCAGCCCTGAAGCTGGAGCATGACTGCAGGAAGTGTGTTCTGTGGCCCTGATGCTTTTTGCCCACAGTACCTCAGACCACTGAACACTTAAAAGATTTCTTGCCTGTCCTGAAGGAATGTTTTATTTGGATAGGGCACACACTTTCAAAAGCAGCTCACAAGCCTTTTTGAACAGCTTCACATGGATTTCTTTTTTGATGTGCTTGCTTCCCATGAACTGATACCAGATTCTTTTCTTTAGGTATGTTTGTAGGGCACTGCATTTTGTCTTCCTTTCTTCATGTTCCTACCACGCTTCTCTCTCAAAATAGAGAAGGTTCAACACCCCTGCCACCACCACCTTGTTAAAATAAAAGAAATAACCCACAATGTTGACTTTCTGGAACACTGTTCAGCTTTTTCTAGCTTATAATTAAGCTTCTCTTTTAACTTGATTAACCCAACAGTAAATTTAACTTTTCCAAACTGAAGAAATTAAATGCTTGAATTAAAGATTTGAAAGTAGAATAAGCCTCTTCCATCTTCCTCCTATGGGGGTGACTTCAAGGTGATTAGAGATCCAGCCTCTTAGTGCAGAAATTCCTTTTTGGACTACACATGCTCGACTGTCCCACTGATTTCAAGGTCTCTGGGGAAACTTGGGTGACATTCAGCAGAAATAATTCTGATGCTGCAGCTCAAACAAGATAGTGTTGGTATTTGGATCAGATCTAGTAACAC